AAAAAAAAAACAGGAACCTTCAATATGGGGTATACAAGAGACACACCAAGAGATGGAGGTAGCTTACATGTCCATCAACAGAAGAACGGATAAACTTTAGTACATACACACAATGGATTACTATGCAACACTGAAAAATGACCAAGAATCTGCAAAGCACCTTACAACATGGATGAACTTGGGGGACATTATGCTGAGTGAAATTAGTCAATCTCAAAAGGACAAATATGTTAGGAGACCAATGTTGTAAAAGTTAAGAAAAGGTTTTCTTGACAAAAGAAATAATCTATGATAGTTACGGGGGAGGGAAAATTATTCACAGGCTACAGGACAGACACATGATAACATGGGCAATATACAAGAGGGAGGTTAGCACAGGAAAGATGAAGGTAGGGGAGACAGAGGGAGGAATTCAATAGCTAAAGTGAATACAGGTAAATACTGTGAACCATTGGTACATAGAAAGGACTGCAATCATTGTAACTGCAATCATTCCAAAGTGTATGATTTGTTCTTGAATGTAAAACTGATGATCTGCTCTGTAAATCTTTACTCAATTCACACTTAAAGATTAGAGAAAAAAAAAGAAGAATTAAGAAAATAATATGCCTAAACCAGAAAGGCTCTCCTGTAGTTTAGTCCAAGCGCTCTGCTTATACAGCCACCATAATGATGTTAACTGTTTATATGACCACTTTCTTCCTTCTCTTGTTGCCCCCTTTCCCAGCCATCAGCCACCTCCACCAAGACAGGTCTTCTGTGTCCTGTTAACCAGCTCTAGAAAAGAGCCTAGTTTTTGTGTTGTTAAGTGCTGTCAAATCGGATCCAACCCACAGCGACCCTGTATAGGGTTTCCAAGGAGCAGTTGATGAGCTTGAACTATTGACCTTGCAGTTCAAGATTATTAACTTATCAAAATTAAACCACTGATTTCTAGTGTTCATCTTGTTCTGCAAGAGGTTAGTTGTTTTTGCCAATATTTCCCATGTGACAGACCAGGAATTTCTAGTTTGTTCTAGAAAATAAGGATTATATGGCTATATAGTTATCTGAGATAGTTTTTCTCTATTAACTTTTTTTTATTTCCTATTAACTCTTAAATGCTTTAATATATATTGTTTTGCCAGGATCACGGTTGTTACATAGCAATCATATCAATCCTGTATAGTTTCCAACTGGTGAGTTTGAACCATCAACCTGTGCTTATCTTACAGTAGGGAAGGCTTTTATTTGGGCTGGGGGTGGGGTACAAATGTATTAATTTATCAAATAACCTGTGGATCACAATTTTAATACTAGCTATAAAGGAGCTCTGGTAGCGTAGTGGTTACAAATCGGGCTGCGAACCGCAAGGTCAGCAGTTCGAAACGACCAGCTGTTCTGCGGGAGAAAAATGAGGCATTCTGCTCCCGTAAAGATTTACAGCCTCCGAAACCCTGTCCAGGGTCGCTATGGGTCGGAACCGACTCGAAGGCACTTAACAACAACATAGAGTGTTTTTTAGGAACAGACTTTCAGACTCTATTCCAAACCTGTTGAATCAGCTTTCCTGATGGTAGACTACAGGAAGCTATGCTTGATAAATTCCTTGGCACAGTCAGGTTTGGATTAACTCATTTGCCTTTAAATTACTGTTGGATGCCAGCAAGGCAAGTCAATTCAAACCCTTTGTGTTGGATGCCAGCAAGGCAAATCAATTCAAACCCTTTGTGACAGATGGCCATGTAGTTTAGGCATTGGGCTGCTAACTGCAAAGTTGGCGATTGATTCAAACTCACCAGCTGAGGGTGAACGTTGAAGTAAAGATTTACCGTTTTGAATTGATTGTTTTTCGGTTTTGTAACAGAGTAGAGGTGCTCCATAGGGTTTTCTTGGCTGTAACCTTTATGGAAGAGGACCAGGTCTTGGTGGGTTCAAGTTAACAAATAGACTCAAGCTTTACGCAGCACAGCCACTAACCCCAACGTCATGGAGTAGATTCTGACTCATAGTCAGGCACCCTATAGGTTTCCAAGGTTGAAAATCTTTACAGAAGCAAACTACCACAACTTCTTCCATGGAGCGGCTGGTGGGCTCGAACAACCTACCTTTTGGTTTACAGCCAAGCACTTTAACCGCTACCCCACCAGTGCACCTTAAAAAACTGGTAAAAATAGCTGACAGGAAAGCCATTATTTGCTTTTCACACGACGTGTGGTGCTACAGGATAATGCACTGCACCGCGAGTTCCGTTTGAATTGCAAGGTAGTTTTTGTTGTGTGCCGTGGAGTCCGTTCTGACTCATCGCAACCCTGTATAGGGTATCTGAGGCTGTAAATCTTTACGAGAGCAGAAAGCCTCATCTTTCTCCCGCGGAACAGCTGGTAGTTTCGAACTGCTGATCTTGAGGTTCGCAGCCCGATTCGTAACCACTACGCTACCAGAGTTCAGTGGCTCAAGCCCACTAGCCGCTCCTTGGAAACCCCTGTGTAGGGTCGCCGTGAGTCAGAGCCGACTGAATGGAACAACACCACCAGATCGCCAAGAGTCAGAATCCACTCCCCCGCAACTGGTCAACAGGTTTTACACGCTGAGCTCTAGCTCCTTGGGGCCGTTCTCTTTCTTCACACCATGAGAACTTGGAGAAATTGGATTCTTTTGGTTTAGGATCCCATTCCCAAACCAGATACACATGCCGGAGGCGCTGAGTCAGGGCAGGTGTCCCCAGACAGGTCACCCCCGGACCCCAGGGTCTCCATACGGACTCCGGAAAGCGACAGCAGATCCGACATAAATCGAGGAGCAGAAACAGCGAACAGAAACCGCGGAAAAACCAACACACACCTTGACGGTGTTCAGAGCTAAGGCGGGTCGGATCAGGACAAACCCAGACAGCCCCTAACAAGTTGGGAGCCCCGCCTACCCGGCAGTACTGAAACCTGATTGGTCCCTCTGACTCCTCAGCCTCCTCTTGACCCCACCCACACCGCAGCGACGGACACTAGAGCGCGGTGCACAGCGCTCCACAGGAAGTACTTCTTTCGGCGGAAGTTTCTGAATGTAATATAGTGGAAGTGCCTTCTCTTCCGGTCTCTTTGGTCTCGGCGGCAGAAGAAAGATGGTGAGTTGTTTGCGTGAGTCTTTCGAATCACCTTCCATCCTTGTTTTCTGTGCCTCCCTACTTGCTATCCGTAAGGGTCTAGCAAGGTCTCAGATAAGTGAAACTGATGGGGGAAAAAAAAGTTACGCTACAGTCCCCAAGAGTCTAAGAAATGGTTCTTAATTGGACCCGGGATTGCTGAGCCCGCAGTCGTGGAGCAGAAGCTGCCTAGAGTTCCATTCTCCGGTGTGCCCTTTGGGGAGTCCTAAGAGCCCTACCTTCGAATAAGAGCTGAGGGAAGAAGCGTGATTTGTGGGTGTTTGTAAGAACAAAGGAATTCGTTATTGTGCCTGGCGAGAGCTGTTAAGCTTTGGAGTACGTAGTAAAAGGTCGTTCTTTAGCCTTGTATCCCCTCTCTTAGCTATTAACAAGATTGCAGATTTCAAAACAACAACTACTGCTGAAGGCTTTAGATAATCTGAAATAATTTTGTGAAAAAAAGTTGTTCTCGACTATCAGGAGTTGCTTTTTCTGAGCCCATCAGAATATGTATACATGTATGTCAGATTGCATTTATCAGCCCCCTTAATTTGCAGACGAAGGGAACGTCATCATTTGGAAAGCGTCGCAATAAGACGCACACCTTGTGCCGCCGCTGTGGCTCGAAGGCCTACCATCTTCAGAAGTCCACCTGTGGCAAATGTGGCTACCCTGCCAAGCGCAAGAGAAAGTGTAAGTTGAACGTTATTTCTGCAGATTGTGTTGGGATAAATCTTGAGATTAAGGACAGTTTTTAGTTGCAGGGTTCCTAAGTGGGACATGACTGGGTTTGTTTTGGTGCCTGACTATAAAACTGGGCGGATGGATGTTGGTGAACCAAAGTATCTACATTGTGTGAGTAAACCACTTAGAAGCTTACCTGTATTTGTGTTTTAGATAACTGGAGTGCCAAGGCTAAAAGACGAAATACCACTGGTACTGGTCGAATGAGACACCTAAAAATTGTATACCGCAGATTCAGGTATAATTCTTATTTTGATTATAACTGGCGCTATGACTTTGGGCAGGAACCATGGTATTAATTACTCTGGTGACTTATTGGTGGAGGATTGGTGTTGGAAGGTAATAGTAAACTAAACAATTGCTCAGTACCACCGAGTCAGTTCCAACTCGTAGAGATCCTGTATAGGGTTTTCTAGGCTGTAAATCTTGCAAGAGTAGAAAGCCTCGTCTTTATTTATCCTGCAGAGCAGCATGAACCACAAAACTGGTTAGCAGTGTGGTGATTATCCTTCAGAGCCACAGCACTCCCATCTGGCATTTGTTGTTGTGCTGTCTAGTCGGTTCCAACCCATACTGACCCTATGTAGGGTATTACCCTAGGAGCAGTTGGTGAGGTTGAACTGCCCTCCTTGTTGTTCAAACCAACTTTGCAGTCCAGTGCATTAGCCCACAGTGCCACACATGCAACAGGCATTAAATGTTTTTAAACCCTACTACATACTTAACCACTTTGACCCAAGTTCCGAAATTTAGTTTGCACATTTGTCATATATGGTAAGGTTTTAAAACAATCATTTAATGCACAAAGTTACAAAACTGATTTTGGAACCCTGTTTAGGGGTTTTCCAGCTGTTCCATGGGAGAAAGATAAGACTTTCTGCTCCCTTAAAGATTTACAGCCTTGGAAACCCTGTGCAGGGTCGCTATGAGTTGGAACCGACTCTGTGGCACATAACTACCACCACCTTATGGGTTTCCCAAGAGCAACTTGTGCATTTGAACCACTGACCTTTTGGTCCAGTGCTTATCCCACAGTACCACAGGAGAACTCCTCTGGGGAAGAAAGAAAAGTACCACAAAGATTTTAAGGCCTACACTATAAATTTTAAGTCAACTTTGATAAAAATAGATTACTTTCTGTTAAATTTACCAAATTATTTTGTCCTGGTTTGGCACCATAAGATAAGCTCAGGACCATAAAGCCAGCAGTTCAAACTCACCAGCCACTACTCAGAAACTTGGTTGTTGTTGTCAGGTGCCATCGAGTCGGAACTGACTCATAGTGACCCCATGTACAGCAGAACGAAACCATGTCCGATCCTGGGCCAACCTCACTACCGCTGCCACACTTGACTCTATCAAAAACTATACTACGTTGATAATCAGAAACTAGTCAGAACCTACCCTAAGGCACTTAATATCATTGTTAGCAACCATTAAGACAGTGAAGTGCATAGCGACCCTGCATAGGGTTTCAAAGAAGCAGCTATTGGGTTTGAACTGTAGACCTTATGGTTCACAGTCAGATGCTGATGCCACAATGCCATACCAGGTCCCCAAAGCATGATGACTTACATTAATTAGTATGAACTATGTATACCAATGAATTCTGGTGTGGTGCTGTAGGATAATGCACTGGACCGCGCCTGTTTGAACTACTAGATCTCTGAGGTTCAAATTCACTAGCTGCTCCTTGGAAAACCCTACACAGTGTTAGTATGAGTTAGAACTGACTCAGGCACTTAACTATATGTGTGTCAAATGCCTAGGGCATGGTTTGAACTTTTAAGCACCTTGTTGGAATCCGGTTTCAACTCAATAGTGACCATTACAGGGTTTCTAAAGAGTGACTGGTGGGTTTGAAATGTTGGCCTTGAAGTTAGCATATAGCAATCTGATGTTGTGGGGTATTTGTTTAGTTATTTGGACCTTAAAACTGATGTACAATAGTGAGGATTTGGTGTTGAGTAGTTATTTGGAGTCCTGGTGTCACACAGTGGGTTAATACGCTGGACTGCAATGTTGGCTTAAACCACAAGCTCAGCTGTTCCTTGTAAATCTATTTAGGGTCGCCATGGGTTGAAGCCAGCTCGAGCACCTAACAACAGTTCATTTGTGTCTTATAGGCATTTGAAGCCAGACTTAGTGCCCTAGTGAGTGGCTGGTGAGCTTGACCCACCGATCTTGTAGTCCAGCCTACTAACTAACCCACAGCACTACACCAGGGCTAAAAGTTTCTTCCTCCTGGCATGGGAAGACTTTTTCAGGAGTATGAGGTATCTTCAAAAGATCCGCAAGCTTTTTGAAACCTTATACCTTGGGTTTTTAGGCAAGCAGAGAAGAAATACTGACTCAGTGATTCCTCCAATTGTACTTTTACAATTGCAGTTAAACTATATCCTTGAAATGTATGACAGCTTATCAGTGATGTTGTACAAATAAATGTCTGAACATATGAATATAATACTGATTTCAGCATTTAACTGAGATAAGCTTAACTTCTATGTAATAGCAACTAAGCTGAATATATTAACAAGACTGATATGAAGTAACTTCCTATTTTGAACCTTTTGCAGGCATGGATTCCGTGAAGGAACTACACCTAAACCCAAGAGAGCAGCTGTTGCGGCATCCAGTTCATCTTAAGGATTTCAGCGTCTAGTTGTGCAATAAATGTTCTCAGATTTAAAATAATCTGGTGGTGTGAGGTATTTTTCATTAAGCTATGTTATCAGTGACAATTTAGTGAATTGTGCTGTGGAGTCAGTTCAGAGTCTTGGTAACCAAAGGTAGGGTTTCTGAGGCATGGTTGATGGATTTGAACTACCAACCTTCAGTTAGCAGTCCAGTGCTTATTCTGTAGGGCCACACCAGTACATGGGTTCCAATTCGTAGTGACCCTGTGGAGGGTTTCCAAGAAGCCCCTTGGTGAGTTTGAACTGCAAACCCTGCGGTCCAACCAGCTTTGCAGGTCCATTTCATCGCACCACACTTTGAGGGTTCCAGAAGTGTTGAATAGGGCAACTTAAATTGCTTTGAACTGGTGTGACAATGCTTAAAACAAGACTTCTTTTAAGACAACACAGGAAAGGGGAAAGTAGGAGTTGGATTCAACTGATCCATAGTGGATTGTTCAGTAAGCAAGGTAAGCACAGGCTTACTTGTAGTTGCAACTCTGTAGTGAACAGTTTAACATTTGCTCATGGCTGATATCTGTGTATCTCAATACCCCCACAGCACCTTCCTACAGAATAAAAACAACAATTCCTGACAAGCAAGCAGAGCACTTAGTAGACCAGGCTAAGCTGGCAATGGACCTTAACTCGTAGTGATTATGAAATCATGGTGCTAACCTCGGGGTCAGTAGTTTGAAACTGCCCCACTGTTCTGCAGGAGAAGAGGAGGCTTTCTACTCCTGTAAATTTGAGTGATTATTGGTTTATCTATTATAAAATAATGGTAATCTAAACTCAGTTCTCTGAAATCTTATGCCTTCTTCAGTGCTAGTGGTGGTTGTGTGTCCCCCAAGTCAATTCCAGCTCAGCAGCCCTATACAGGATTTCACGACTAAGTCTTCATAGGAACAGAAACTTTTCTCCTGCCGATTTAACTGTTCGTAACAGCCCAGTTTATAATCCACTACTATGGCATCTTGCCTTCCTTGGTAATAGTGGATTATTGTCATATATTTTTTTTAATATAAATGTCCAAAAAGAACCTAAAGGAAAATTTTTGCATTTAGGGCAACATGCAATGTCCATTTAACCTTGGTTGTCACTTCAAGATCCTAATCCTTCTCTGTCTCATGAACCTTTATGTGCCGTAGGTGAGACTGCTTCCCAGTATATTGACTCAATTCACAGCTTTTGTTTATTAACAAATGCTGCCAGGTAATTGCACCAACCTCAGAATATTGCTAAGCCTGAGTCCATTCCTGCAGCCACTGCTAATCCATCTCATTGTGGGGGTCTTGCTCTTCACTTGACCTCTCCAGGGACTGGTGCTTCCTGATACTATGTCCAAAAGTATGGCTACATTCCAACACAGATTGGTTTGTTCTTTTGGCAGTCCCTGGTACTTTTTAATTTGGTATGTTCTTTTGGCAGTCCCTGGTACTTTTTAATTTTCTCATACCATAACTCAAATGGATCCATTTTCTACTGTCTCTTGCTCATTGTCAAATTTTCACATGCATATTAGGTTATTGAAGACACCATGGTTTAGGTCAGGCACAAAATCTGACTTGCTTTTAAGATGTTTTTACTCTTACCTGGTGTTCTTAGTGATTGATTACTGAGTGATTGAGGAGCCTACTATAATAGGTTGCACCCAATACAGAATAAATGTTAGATATTGAAGGAGTGGGCACTGCTGTGAAGAAAACAAGATTGTTGAATACTGTATCTACAGGAAAATGGAGTTGGCACGAGAGGGTGAGATGATGGTGCCATCAGGTCAGTTCTGACTCAGCTACCCTGTATAGGATTTCCAAAGTGGCTGGTGGGTTTGAACCTGGTGTGGCACTGTGGGTTAATGCCCCAGCTGCAAAGCTGTTTGAACTGTAAGGTTGGTTCAAGCTCACCAGCTGCGCCTAGGAAGCCCTATACAGTGTCGTCCACTCAACAGCACTTCACAACAACAAACGTGTTAGCAACCTAGTGCCGATTCTACAACACAGCACATACCAGGGTCTTTAGCCTGTATTCCTGGCTTGCATCTGGAATTATGGCCTGGGGGTTAGGAGTCCAATAGATGGTCAAGTCAGGGCCATCCTCAGGTGCCTGGGAGGGAAGGTCTAGCTGTCCACTTTGAAAAATGAGCCATTGAGAACCCTATGGAGCACAGTTCTACTTTGATGTGAGCTTTTGCTTTATGGTATGAGCTATCAAACCAGGACAGGAGCCTGTGGAAGGTGTCACTTAATTGAATCCTAATTTATTCAGTGTTCATGTCTTGACTGGTTGGAGTCCAGCAGCAGTTCCCCATTGCATAAAATCCCTCAGGAGCACACAGGAATGAATGTGCAAGGTGTTGGTGTGGATGTGATGAGAATTGATACTGGATGACTGGTCAGTAGGTCCTTACTGTAAAAATCTGCCAATAAGGTAGTGGCAGTAGAGTAGCACTGTAGAAGGGAGCTCTACAGGGAGCACCTAAGGCTTGAATCAAAATGAATAGTTCACAAGCCCATATACTCCTCTAGGTGGCTGTGAGGATTTTGTTAGACTCAAGCAACCCTATGTACAAAAGAATGTAATGTTACCTGGTGCTGCACTGGGATGATTATTGGTAATTAGTGTTAAAGTCACTTGTATTTTGAGTGTCATCCAACCTCATGGAACATAGTTGACCTGGGGCTCACATTCCAGCACTATATTGCATAATATTCTGTGGTCTATAGGGTTTACATTGGCTGGTTTTCCAAAGTACATCTCCAGATCTTTCTTCTGGTCTGTCTGAATTTGGATATTCTGTTGAACCTTGTCCATTATGGGTGACCCTGCTGGTCTTTGAAATAGTGGCAAAGTTTCCAGCATCATAGTAATGTGCAAGCTACCACAGTAGGACAGAGAAATGGATGGTGGTGTGAGAATTAACGTGGGATCATAACATGTATGATGGTGGTAGTGTGCTGCAGAGTCAGCCCCAATTCATAGCGATCCTGTATAGGGTTACTGAGGCTGTAAATATTTACGGGAGCAGAAAGCCTCATCTTTCTCCTGCGGAACTGCTAGTAGTTTAAAATGCTGACCATGAGATTAGCAGCCTGACTCGTAAGCACTACACTACTGAGCTTTATATCTAACAGCAAAACAGCAAGAGCTAAAATACACCAGTTCAGGGAGATTGTTGTTGTTGTTAAGTGCCGTCGAGTCGGTTCCGACCCATAGCGACCCTGTACAGGGTTTCCGAGAGATAGGAGTCTTAAATACCTAGTTTCTCAATATGGTCTGGAGGGTAATTGATCCTCTTATTGAAATAAGGGAGGCTGGGAGGGCCTTTGTTCAGATGTATGCATGCCATCAAGAAAAGATGTGGCCAGACCCTCCCTGGACCACAGAGCCATGGCGGATGAAGGGCTGGAGACCCTCAATACAGATGGCAAGATACAACTAAGTGGGAAGGTATCAGAACAAGGCTTAGTAGAATTTCTTGAGTAAGTAAGCCAGCAAACAAAGTTAAATTCAACAGAAGAAAAGGAATGGACTCTGATGAAGATGGCAATTACTGAATTAAAAACGAATAACTCTAGGATGGATAAAAGTTAAGTTCCAATTAAATGCTTTGTATATAGACTGCCTTTAAAACAAACAAGTAAAATAAAGATGTCTAGCTAGAAGTTCAGGTGAAAGGTAGGATTGTGTGCATTGGGCAGAAATAATTACTGAAAGGAAATTGATTTTAAGGGTCATGGGCAAAAGATGAATAGAGAAATGAGGTGATGGTTGTTATTAAGTGCTGTCGAGTCGATTCCGACCCATGGCGACCCTATATAGGGTTTCCCAGGAGCAGCTGGTGAGCTTGAGCCACTGACCTTGCAGTTCAAACAACTAGCGCCACACCGGGACTCTGAGGTGATGGTAAGATCTGGCATTTAGTGATCATGAAAGCAAAGGGTTTACTTCATTGACTTGACTGAGCAATGGTTAAAATCATTTAAGAATCTATGGTATGGTGCTACAGAATAATGCACTAGACTGCAAGGTCAGTTTGAACCACAAGATCAGAGGTTCAAATTCACCAGGTGCTCAGAAACCCTCTACTGGGTCACTATGAGTTAGAACTGCTTCAATGGCACTTAAAACTAAAGACAGCCACTAGCCAGCACTACAACAAAGATGTTAGAGAGACTGTCTTTGTTACCTAGTGCTTCATTACCTAGAAATACTACAGAGTTGATATATACTGAGGTTCTGACTTACAGCAATCCTATGTGGTGCTGTGGGATAATACACAAGACCTCAAGGTCTGTTTGAACCACAAGCAAGGTCGGCAGTTCAAATTTACCAGCAGCATCTCAGAAACCCAGTACAGGGTTGCTATGAATGGGAACTAACTTGACAGCACTTAACAACAATGTGCAACAGAAGGAAACACTGCAGTCTTGTGTCAGCCTCATAATCATTCATGTTTGAACCCTTGTTGCAGCCACTGCCTCACAGTTTGTTTTAAGTGCCATTGATTCCGTTCCAACTCAGCTGAGGAGCAGCTGGTGGGTTTGACTGTCGACTTTGCTGTTAGAAGCCAGTAGTTCTCCTACAGCACCATCTAGGATTAGAAGTCTGAATTCAGAGTGAGTGCCAGCTCTAGAGAAACACCTTTGCATTACAGGAAGATTTTTGCTCCTTTCAACATCTATTTTCCTGGAGTTCTTTGGCAATCCATTTTGGTATCACTCTTCCACTGGGACTAGGAAGTTCTCAGCACGGAAACCCTGTGTCCAATGGACATGCTCTGCTCTTGGCTCTGCTTTTTTAATGGTGGTAGGTCCCTCTCTCTACTCACTTCTATTTCCTTTTACCTTTTGTAAGGTAAGAGCTGTTGCAAGACACTCCCCAAGGAAACTCACCTTATGTTGGATCAGACTGAGAGGAAGTTAAGGGTGTTGCATCCTAAGCTAAATCTTCTTACTGCTTTATCACAGATCATGTGGGGGATCAACATGCCACATTGCATACA